TGGAATGTATGAAGTTACCATGCAGTGTTTAAAGTTACCATGGAGTGTTTGGAGTTACCATGGAGTGTTTGGAGTTACCATGGAGTGTTTGGAGTTACCATGGAGTGTTTGAAGTTACCATGGAGTGTTTGGAGTTACCATGGAGTGTTTGGAGTTACCATGGAGTGTTTGGAGTTACCATGGAGTGTTTGGAGTTACCATGGAGTGTTTGGAGTTACCATGAAGTGTTTGAAGTTACCATGGAGTGTTTGGAGTTACCATGGAGTGTTTGAAGTTACCATGGAGTGTTTGGAGTTACCATGGAGTGTTTGGAGTTACCATGGAGTGTTTGGAGTTACCATGGAGTGTTTGGAGTTACCATGGAGTGTTGAAGTTACCATGGAGTGTTTGGAGTTACCATGGAGTGTTTGGAGTTACCATGGAGTGTTTGGAGTTACCATGGAGTGTTTGAAGTTACCATGGAGTGTTTGGAGTTACCATGGAGTGTTTGAAGTTACCATGGAATGTTTGGAGTTACCATGGAGTGTTTGGAGTTACCATGGAGTGTTTGGAGTTACCATGGAGTGTTTGGAATTACCATGGAGTGTTTGGAGTTACCATGGAGTGTTTGGAATTACCATGGAGTGTTTGGAATTACCATGGAGTGTTTGGAGTTACCATGGAGTGTTTGGAGTTACCATGGTTGTTTGGGCTGCTGACGAGTAATTATTACATTATGGATAATAAGTCTCACTTTATATGGTTCTTCAAGTCTCTCCAACACTGCATATAAATCACTTTGACTTTTTTGGGGGGGATTATCCTTAGTAATTTACACATGATACTAGAAAAACAGACACAATTACTGTATACTGCAATTCTTTATACCGCATTTATATCAATTTTTCCTTCGTGTTGGTATTTTATACCATTTATTTCCACATGTTACCAGTTATGATAAATGTACTTACGTGTACCTAAATAAACTTACTTAAGACTGTGTTGTTTCTTCGTGTGCGTCGTTGAATAGTATTGGATGAGACAGTGTCAGTGGGAGGGTGTAAGACACTCAAAGACAAGACTGGGTCACTGTATGATTAAGAACCTCGTCACGTGATTTGTTTTTTTTTTTTTGGCGAATAAATCAACAGCAAAAACAGCGACAAGAACGGAAAGGAAAGTTGGTTAGTGTATTTTGACCTAGAGCCGAGTTGAAGGTCGATATGTTCACGCTAACTTTCTCCCTTTTTTTTTTTTTTTTTTTTTTTTTTTTTTTTTGTCTCCGTATGGGTTATCTCTCAATAGTTATATAACAAGATCACAGTTATATCACAAGAAGATCACAGTTATATCACAAAAAGATCACAGTTATATTACAAGAACACAGTTATATCACAAGAAGATCACAGTTATATCACAAGAAGATCACATTTATATTACAAGAACACAGTTATATCACAAGATCACAGTTATATCACAAGAAGATCACAGTTATATTACAAGAACACAGTTATATCACAAGATCACAGTTATATCACAAGAAGATCACAGTTATATTACAAGAACACAGTTATATCACAAGAAGATCACAGTTATATCACAAGAAGATCACAGTTATATTACAAGAACACAGTTATATCACAAGAAGATCACAGTTATATCACAAAAAGATCACAGTTATATTACAAGAACACAGTTATATCACAAGAAGATCACAGTTATATCACAAGAAGATCACAGTTATATTACAAGAACACAGTTATATCACAAGAAGATCACAGTTATATCACAAGAAGATCACAGTTATATTACAAGAACACAGTTATATCACTAGAAGATCACAGTTATATCACAAGAAGATCACAGTTATATTACAAGAACACAGTTATATCACAAGAAGATCACAGTTATATCACAAGAAGATCACAGTTATATTACAAGAACACAGTTATATCACAAGAAGATCACAGTTATATCACAAGAAGATCACAGTTATATTACAAGAACACAGTTATATCACAAGAAGATCACAGTTATATCACAAGAAGATCACAGTTATATCACAAGAAGATCACAGTTATATCACAGGAAGATCACAGTTATATCACAAGAACGCGAGAATCAGAAGAGTAATAATGTGGATTTTTCTGGTATAGACGATCACGAGTAATGGGCTGGGTAGGTCACACAAGACCTTCATTTGTATAACTCTTATAGCGTCCTCAAGTGACTCGCCCCTGACTCTCAGCACCAGCTGGTGCCACCACCACCACCTGGCTCTACTGCTTGCCGCTTACCGGACTACCTTCCTCCTTGTCTCCTGGACTCTGTAATACACATTCTTAAAGCTGTGTATGAAGCCTACTTACATTATTCTTTGAAGATAATTACTTTTTGATATCCTTGTGACTCAACTGTGCCCTGGTGTAACTGTGTCCCACCTCTCGAAAAATCTATCTCTGTCCACCCTATCAAGTCCTCTGAGTATTTTGTATGTCGTTACCATGTCTATCCTGTGTGTGTGTGTGTGTGTGTGTGTGTGTGTGTGTGTGTGTGTGTGTGTGTGTGTTTGCTGGGAGCAAGACAGTTTCTGACTTCACCTCCTCAGTATACTGATCGACATTTGGAAGCTCCTGACATTGCGGGCCTTGCCATTCCTATTATTGCAGCCGTGTATGGAATTTCTCTTCACTGCTTTCTCCTTACACCAGTTTCCACCAGCCTGAGATTAAAGAAACTTTTTCTAATGTCTCCACGGTTCATCAGTGTCTTAAGCTACCATCTCTAACCTCTGACCTCCGCTTTCCCAGTATTCTGCCAATGTTAATAGTCTGCCCATATTAATCTCTTGTAAAAATTTGTATGCATCATACTGACGTCTTCCTGGAAGGTCGTCAGGCTCACCTCTGAGTGACTCCTGTTACGTAACTTTCAACTTGGAGACAAGTCTTGTAGCATCATACCCTTGAAGTTCTGACACGCGTTGTGATCATGTTGACACTGTACCCTGGACCTGGGGAAGGGAGGGATCTCTGTACACTGGTGTTGGGGGGTGGGGGTTGCATAATCCTTGACAGGTCATACGTCTCGTGAAACCTGAAGGATTCCTTGTTCAGCTCCCTCAATGCTGTACTGTTATGCTAGTCGCGCGTGTACCGTCGAGGTTGTGTAATGAAAGATGATATAAAGAATTTAACACACATACGTATATCTATAAAAAATATATTAAATGTTTTTTTTTCCAAGTATTTACTCGTGGAAAACTGGATCCTCTTTTTCCACTTCTTCTTCTTCTTCTTCTTCTTATTATTATTATTATTATTATTATTATTTATTATTATTATTATTAGTAGTAGTAGTAGTAGTAGTAGGCTATACGTAATAATGGAGGTAAGCATATGAGAGTGGTGACAGTGGCACCTGAGGTGAGCACATGAGTGACAACAGTGGCACCTCAGGTGAACACATGAGTAACAAGTGGCACCTGAGGTGAACACATGAGAATGACAACATTGGCACCTGAGGTGAACACACGGGGGAGACCAGCACATCCCAGCTGACACTGTGAGGGGTAAACAGTGCTGACATTTCTCGTACAGGTGAGTTTTTCATGACTTAAAATAGCTTACCAGAGTGAGTTGTGTAAATGAAATTCAGTGCTGTAAGTGCCTTCGTACTAGTAGCTGCCACGTGTTACCTTTGTACTAGCAGTTGTCACGTGTTGCCTTCTTACTGTCTGTTGCCACGTGTTACCTTCGTACTAGCAGCTGCCACGTGTTGCCTTTGTATTAGCAGTTGCCAATTGTTACCTTTGCACCAGTAGCCGCCACATGTTGCCTTTATACTTGTAGCTTCCACTTGTTACCTTTGTACTAGTAGCTGCTACGTGTTACATTCGTACTAGTAGCTGCCACTTGTTACCTTTGTACTAGCAGTTGCCGCGTGTTGACACAGGAAATGTTCTTGCCATTACTTTTTGTGGGCAGCAGGATATTACAATTATGGTGTAATGTATGGACAAGCATGCGGTAGACACTATACGAGGTACAGCACACCATGTGTCTGCTACACTCGAAAACCACATCACTGATTCACACTAATGTATGAATAAGTACAATAAAGAGTTCGATTTGTAAAAAAAATTCTATTGATCCAGGTGTGTGGGTGTGTGTGTGGGTGGGTGTATGTGTGGGTGGGTGTATGTGTGGGTGGGTGTATGTGTGGGTGTGTGTGTGGGTGGGTGTATGTGTGGGTGGGTGTATGTGTGGGTGTATATATGTGTGGGTGTGGGTGTACGTGTGTGTGTGTGTGTGTACTCACCTAATTGTGGTTGCAGGGGTCGAGACTAAGCTCCTGGCCCCGCTTCTTCACTGATCGCTACTAGGTCCTCTCTCTCTCTGCTTCCTGAGCTTTGTCATACCTCGTCTTAAAGCTATGTATGGTTTCTGCCTCCACTACGTCACTTGCTAGGCTATTCCACTTCCTGACGACTCTATGACTGAAGAAATACTTCCTAACATCCCTGTGACTCGTCTGAGTTTTCAGCTTCCAATTGTGACTCCTTGTTTCTGTGCCCGCTCTCTGGAACATCCTGTTTCTGTCCACCTTAACTATTCCACGCAGTATCTTGTATGTCGTTATCATGTCTCCCATGACCCTTCTGTCCTCCAGTGTCGTCAGTTCGATTTCCCTCAACCGTTCATCGTAGTACATTTCCCCTGAGCTCTGAAACTAGCCTTGTTGCAAACCTTTGTACTTTCTCTAACTTCTTAACGTGCTTGACCAGGTGTGGGTTCCAAACTGGTGGTGCTGGTGGGGGGTGTAAGTTTGGGTGTGGGGGTGGGTGTGTGTATGTGTGTGTGTGGGGATGGGTGTGTGTATATGTGTGTATGGGGATGGGTGTGTGTATGTGTGGGTGTGTGTGTGTGTGAGGGTGGGTGTGTGTATGTGTGGGTGTGTGTGTGTGTGTGGGGGAGAGCAGCATGGCTGAGGTTCGTCACACTGGCTACTTGCTTCCCTCAGTCTCGTCTGGTAGCTGATGCGGTGAGGTGGTGCATCTCTGCTCCAGTCAGTACTCTATGCAACGCTTCACAACCACCTCGTCATCCCCACGACGTATAAAACAAAGTGCGACAGTTATTAAGATTTGACAGTTGTGTATAGTTTTTCAATGTGGGTTTATTGCTGAAATAGTTTTGGACAGTTGACAGTTACCTGTACTGGTGTTACCTGTTCAGCTCAAGTTTTATACGAAGTTCAACTCCTCTCTGCAGGCTTTGTTGCAACGGTTGGATTACAGATTAACAGCACACAGTTTATGCAGCAAAAATTGGAAACGCCCAAGGTAGGTTTAAGACGAGTTTTATGATGCAACTTCTTACCTGAGAGTTGGCAAGTGTTGGACTTAGTGTCAAACTTCAGTCATCAATTATGCCAAGATGCACTACTGCTGACCATCCCAACTTGTTTAATGATATATGTAGTAATTAACACATTTCTTACTACGGATTTATCTTCTGTATTATCCATACAGATTTAGTGTTTATCTCTTTAAGATAACAGCAACAACAGGTGTACTTGAGATTTACCTGGCTTTGAAAAAAATAAGTATTTTTGCTTACATTATCATCCCCCTCCCCCATATTTCTGTAAGTTTACAGTAATTATAATAAAACACTGAGACACCTTGACGTGTCATATATCTGATGTGTAATGTGTTTTAATAATTCTCATTTCAATAAAAATCACAATCCCCACCGGATAAAATTGTAATAACTTGTTTGAGGCAACTCACTACAGAGGCTTCTGGACGGAGCAAAACAATGGACCTTGTTGTCTATACCCATCATTCGTGTAGTTTTTTCTGTGGATGGCATTTCTTCTACATCACCTTAAGGTTGGTGCTGTTTTATTCGTCAGGAAACAACACAAGTGTTTCCTGACCTGAGTTTTGAATCATATTATGACACCTTTACAACCATTTAAAAGTTCCTCTTCGGGGATACATAATACTAATAATATAATGATAACTTATGAGAGGGGGAAAAAAAAGATAGATATGTAGAGATATCTGTTGAAAGCGGAGTCAACTCACACACTGAGGTCCGGGGTTCGAATCTCCCGGTACGGCTGGAATACATTAGGGACGTGTTTCCATAAGACACCTGCTGTCCCTGTTCAACCACCTGTTCAAAATGGGTACCTTGGTGTTAGTCGACTGGTGTGGGTCGCATCCTGGGACAAAACTGACCTAATTTGCCCGAAATGCTCAGCATAACAAGCGGTTGTCTATATAGTATGCCTATATAGTGATAATACCACTTTGATATTAGTGTTAATAATGAACTTTAGATGTTTGAGCAAGGAGGAGGCTGGAAGCAGTGGAGATGTCATATTTGAGTGATGTGTGGAGTGAATTTCATACTGAGAGTGTTGAAGACGGTGTTCGGTTATGAAAGGAATAATTCATAGGGCTGAGGAAAGGTTCGTGAGGTGGTTCGGGAATTTAGAGAGAAGAGCAGTATAGGATGAACAAGAAAGTGCATAAATTTGGGATGGAAGGAAGGAGGGATAGGAGTCATCTCAGGAAGAGTTGGGAGGAGGGTGTTAAGAAAGATTTAGGTCGTAGGGGCAAGCCTGAGCATCTGGCAGATATGTGTGAGCGTGTTAGTTCGGAGTAGAACAAGAGATTTTTAGGATTTTGCGTGTTGTTAGGGTGTGAGCAAGGCAACATTATGATGGAATTCACGGGAAACCAGTTAGTTAAACTTGATTCCTGGAGGTGGGAAGTACAGTGCCTACATTCTGAAGGACGGGTGGGAATATTGCAGTTCGGAGGGTCCATTGTATCGTGATGTCAGTTCTCTTCTGGCAAGACAGCTATTGAATAAAAGATAGATGATGTTTCCTCTTCTTTATGGTTATCTAACCTTGTGAAAGACAGCAGCTGGTAGGGCAAAATAAAAATGGCAGAGACTCAAGACAAAAATGAAACCATTTATTCCTTAGAGTGAGGCCAAGAGAAGTCAATAGTGGAGCGTGGTGGTTCTTAAATGAGATGTGCTCACTTTATTAAACTTTTTCTTATCTGCTCTTTCAATAACAACAGACTTTACATAGATGATTCATAAAGGCTTCTTTATAGGTGGTGCCTGGGTTTTGATGGGCTCTGGATCTAGGGAATTGGAGCTACTTTCCCACGGATCTAACCTGATTGCCTCCCATTCTCCAGGCTCTATGATGAATGTAATCCTTTTCCTGTTCGTCTACACACACACAAATACCAACACTGGTGCTCGATAGTGAAATTTGGTTCTAGAATAAGAAAAGCACAGGATTAGAATGAATAGATGCGGGAAATTTCATGGAAAACTGTGAGGCTTCGCTGTACTGGGTGAGCTATGAAAAGGCGCTTTAATTAAATTGTCGAAGTTAACACAGGATTTTTTGTAATTACCTCACGGGTGAGTGAGTGTGCAAGTTAGGGCAGAGGAAAAAGAGCGATCTTTGAGCTGCCTGCAGAATTAAACAGAGAAAATGGGAAATAATAGTAACAAAAAAAAAAATAGACGCCAGTGGAAGTAAGTCTCATTGTTTAATTTTAATGGGTTAGCCTAGGTTAAGTGTACGTAATGTGCATAACAGCACTTGTGTGCACTCAAGATCATCGTAACAACTTATGTGTTAAGCTTTTCAGAAGAACTGAATGGAAGGTTGACAGAGATCTTCATCAAAGAATGTGCCGAGATGTGTGGATGAGGGCAGGCGTGAGGCTAGCAGCAAATATTTAGGGACTATTCATCGAAAAGTGAGGAAATATGTAGGAGAGCAAAGAAATTTCGTTTTTAACGGACGCCCTTCCACGGAGGTACCTTGACGCCGGCCGATGACTCTTCATCTAAAGAATAAGTCAGCAACACGGATGTTGGAAAGTACTTTTTTTCATTATCAGGGTGATAAGAGACTGAAGTATATACGAATTGTAGGAGGTAAGCATCATACACAGTTTCAAGAGTAGGTATAATCCGGATCTAGAAACCGAAAATCAGTCAAGACAGCCTGTTAAAATAAACGGGTGCCGTGAGGAGCAACGAATCAACCCTTTTAAACACCACTAGGTGAGTACACATCTGTATAACAGTGTCAAGGATTATTTCGGGTCTTCAAGTAGGTACCTTGATGCTGGTGAAGAACTCTTGATCTACGGAATTTTAGCTACTCTCCCCTTCCTTGGATGAAACTTCATTACCACCCATCCCCAGGCGATGTGTGACCCCTACGGGTTTAACGTTTCCCCGTGGATATAACAGTAACCTCCTGAGCAGTTGAACGATAAACTTGAGCGCACACAGTGAACCGCTTACCAGCCTGCATGTGCAAGCTGCAGCCTTGTACCCCCTCATCCTCCTCCTCCCAGCAGTTGGATGTCTCTTATCCTACATACTGTTTAATTAAACTGTTATGTTTGTTTATGAGGAGAGGAAAATAATTTCTCCCATTTTTTAGTCCTCAACATAGTCTTATGTGGGAATGTACATGAAGAGTAAAACATTATCTGCAATTTCTTGCTGGAGTAGATAGTTTGAAGTGAGTAGTTGATGTCAGGAGTATGATACAAGCAGCACGTACGTCGTCTGCCTTGGGTTCTTAATAGATGGAATGATGAAGGAAACGTACTGTAGACTTTTATACAGAGTGATATACTGAATAAATACGTGGTGAAGCCCAGCCTACTGTCCGCGTCTGACAACCTGAGGGTAACCGCCCTCTTTCTGTCCTATACGGAAATACTGGAAATGACCCAGGCCGGGACAAGACCAGCGAACCTACTACAATGCAATAATCTCACGGCGCATGTGCGGGGCATATGGGAGTCCGTGACGTCATGGCTGGCCAGTAACTGAATTATGCTGACAGTCACCTTTACAAATTTATGTGGATTGATGAATGAGACAGTTGTGTATATTGAGAGAACGTTTCGCCAGCCAGTGGCTTCATTCATCAACTTGTCAGTTTTCTAAAGGGGGAACCCCTCAAGGAAGGTTCTTTGACGCTGGTGAGGGGCTCTTGATCTAGGGAATTGGATCTGTGCTCCAGTTCCCTGAATTAAGCCTGAATACCTTCCACATTTCCCACAGACGCTGTATAATACTACGAGTTTAGCGTTTCCCCTTGATTATAATAATAATAATTTAAAGGGAGAGGAGGTTTATATACTGCAGACGGGTGAAGGGAAGCAGTTGGAGGCGGCGTCACCGGTGGACAAAATCCACTAGTGGATTTTGTCCACCTGTGAAAAGTTGAATAATTCCCAGTATCAAGATTCGAAGATGTTGCTGTGTCAGATAGGTATTATATAAATATAATATATAAACCCCTTCTCCACGCATATGTTGTATTTTATCAAGATTAATGGACTGAACACATCTCTAGGCTGAGGGTGATTACTTCAAACTCCTTACCTTCCGCCGTTCTTTGTATTGGACTGATAAAGCCACTGGCTGGCGAAACGTTGCCTCAGTAAAGATACCCAAGGGTTGCACCTCGGTTTTCTAAACCTTTGTATAATACCTGTTGTGGATTTCTCACATACTGTTTGCAGCCAATTTATCGATTTTACGCTATTCACGTTAGGTCAGAGTAGGTCTTTTTAGATTAAATTGCAGTGTCAGTACAAAAATTAAAAATAACTTACCAGAACGGCGACTAGGGAATTCACCATTCCAGTTATTGATGTGATAAATCTCTCTTTGCATTCGCAAGAGATGAGTTCTCTCTTACGTCGCTCTGGCTGATAACGTAGGTAGGAACTTGAGTCAATAAATAACTTGCACAGGTGTTCTCAGTCTTGTTCTCACCACCTCCAAGTTCAGTCATTCACACTTATGGCTCTGGCCAGGGCTTTCTGTTACTATTACCGGCCCGCTGGCCTATGCCTTAATTAACCGTGGCGACGTAAAACATAGGAGAGTCAAATCCAATCTCCCCAACATTCTCCACCTGACTTTCCACCCTGTATACATACTCGTACTCTTTGCCCAGGTAGATCTGTGTGTGACTTGATAAAGCAGTGTGTTGTGCCTGTTTTTCTATCGTGTCGGTATTTTATACCGTTTATCTCCATAGGCAACTGTAAAAAGCTAACTTGTATATATTGTACATGTATGTATAGAAATAAAGATTATTATTATTATTGTTATTATTATTATTATTATTATTGTTGTTGTTGTTGTTTCACGCAACGGTATAACCTGGCGTTTTCACGTGTGGTGAGGCACCAGTCTTGCCGTGCTTCTGTCGTAGTACCGGCACCATTGAACAGCTCAATCTGTGACGACGACCCGT